TCATGTCCAGTAAAGGGTGCTTCAGGAGTATGAAACATCAGGCCAGCTACTTTGGGATCAAACAAACTCTAGTATTGATCCCATCCTGCTGGTATCGATATGATCTAACTCCAACATTGGTATGTTGGTGGTAAATGGTAAATGGCTTGAGCTAATATAGGGCCTTATAAAGTCCATATGCACCAAAGCACTTTACACTTCGTTCACACATTCACTTACACGTGGTAAGCTACAGCCACAGCTGCTGAAAATATGGATGGAGGACCACAGTTTAGCTTGTTTGTCATGCTAGCTCTGAGCTAATACATATAAAGCAATATAGCGTCAGCGTTAAAGCTAACAGGCTAAGCTGAGGTTCTTCTTCCATGAAGCAGCTCTGTTGTCCTCCATCCATATTTTCAGTCACAGGTTGAGTCATTTCTACCTTCTCCTCTCTGTCAACGCTCTCTGGTTTCATTTAAAAGAGTCGATCATCAGATATTGTCCGAGATTAAACTTCAGGGTGGATATAGCTCGCAAGCAGACTCGCACCGAGGACCTATCCACATCATCATTTACCCAGAATGCTTTGTGTGTAAATAAAATGGCTCCATCCGTGTTAAAACATCTTTTTAAAAATTTATAAAACTAAACAGCCTACAGTATTTTTACAGTCTTTATTTTACAGTTAAAAAAGTTTATCAAATAAAGTCTAATGTTACAACTAATCGGGGATCCCTTTAACCTTTACTGGTTTTGATCATTGAGTTGATCTGTTTCCACCTGGACAAGACAAGATTACTGATACATTGAGCTTTGTTTGACGGATGTTGAGGCTGAGGTTTAGTTTTTTTAATGAATAAACTTGGCATCAAAACCAACAAAATATGAAGCCGTTCAGTATTTCAAAAGAACAATGAAACTGTCAAAATGTTATTTATTTAATCATTTGATTGTCACATGTCTGTAATCTGACTTCGTGTGGTGTTTCCCTTAATCACCCGTTCTTACAAAATAAAAAAATACTGTTTTTTTCCTCAGCTGACCTTCCTCAATCATGTTAGTCTCATGATTTTGGGTATTTGTTTTAACTTTTTTTAATCATTTGGATTTTTTTGCTTTCATTTTGCTTTTTTCCCTCATTATACCTTTAGTTTTTCAGCTGCTGATTTGATCAAATCAACTTTAATGTCCTCCATTTTATCTAATAGGCTATCATGATTCATTGTTGAATGTTCCAGTGTTTTAGATTTTTTTGTACCCAAAAAGTGGTTGGTGATAATAATCAAAAGCTCAGAAAAGAACGTGGATTTTTATGTAATTCTACTGGACACTGATCTTTGCATTTACAAAATCTGCATGCTCACCATAAAGAGAGAAAAAATTAGCAATATGTTCTGTAAAGTAATAATAAGAAAATGTCACCTGATCTCAAATTCTTTGTTTTTTGCATTAAATGAGAACATGTTAACTTGAAGTTTTTACCCTCTCTGTCTAGGGAGAATTAGTTTAATCAGCATCTCTGTGTGTATTTTTAAACAGCTGATGTTTCTGTATTTAGGACATTAATGTTTTTACCAGCAGACATTTAGGCTCCTTTCTGTCGCRTCTGTGTGAAATTAAAGGAGTCAGTCTGTCAAATGTGCTGTAAAAAGGGAAAAAAATGACCCATAATGATTTCCTGCTTCCATATCACTTAATCTTTACGTTTTGATTTTTAAAAAGTGAGTGAGGGAGTCGAGCCTGAAACTCATCTTTAGGGAATTTTCTTTATTTGCTCTCTTCATCAGTGGTTGGGTTGCAGAGGCAACAGGTTCAGGAGAGAAGCCTAAACATCCTTCTCCCTAGCAACACTCTCCAGCTCCTACAAGGTTTTCCCAGGYCAGAGAGGAWATACAATCCTTCYAGCAAGATCTGGGTCTGCTCTGGGGTCTCTTCTCAGTTGGGCAGGCCTAGAAGTCCAGGAACCACCTTRACCGTTTCCGTTTGATGCGAAGGGGCAGCAGCTCTGCTCCGAGCTTCTCCTGAAAGWCAGAGCTCCTCACCTTGTCTCTRAGACTGAACCCGGACACCCTTCACAGGAAGTACTGCTTGTATCCATTTCTTGTTCTTTTAGACWTAATCTAAACCTCATGGCTATACAGTAGGTGAGTGTTGGAA